GGCGTGTGACTATGTGGTTTTTATGAGATCTCTTGTTTGGGGATGGTTTGAGGATTGACCAGATGGAAAGCAGGGCACTGTGGGATATATCATTTATCACAGTGACAGTGTGTAGTCATCAGCAATCCTCACAACACAGGAGGAAGCTAGAACGGTAAATGTGGAGCAGCATTACAGCCGGACTAGTGGAGTTTGGCAACACTTCGATTTCTCATTAACTTAATCATATTAATTCATTAGTCACATATATCAAAGTAATTCACTCAAGACTTGTTATGATGAACAATTTATAACTGTTAGCTTTCTCTACAGGAAAAGTAGGATGAAATCATCCAGAAGATTTTTTTTAATTTCTTAGAAAAAAAGTACAGCCACATCTAATTATACTAGCTGCCCCACACTATACACTTCTTTAAGAATGATCAAAAAAGGAAAGTAAAGTTTGAAGTTTTAGTTATTGAACTTATGTAATCACCAACAGTCAACTACATGAATTATACCAAGAATGTCCTACTTATGAAACAAAAAACAACAAACAACAAATGATTCTAAACATTTATAACCCAATTTTCAATGTTGTTTTTTTACTTTTTATTTAATTGTTGTTCAAGTACAGTTTTCTGTCTTTTACTCCCATCCCAGCCCACCCCCCCCAGTGCTCCCAACCTCCCTCTCATTTCCACCCCCCCTTAGTTGTTGTCTATGTGTCCTTTATACTAGTTCCTGTAAATCCTTCCCCTTTTCCCCTGAAATCCCCTCCACTCCCCCTTCTGGTTACAGTCCACCTATTCTCTATTTCAGTGTCTTTGGCTATATTTTGCTTGTTTGTTAGTCAATGTTAAGTTTTTGCATGGAAGATATATTTCAGTGTATTTGTCAAAATGTGGTATTCATGATCAAGAGACCTGGATTTTGAAATTCTGGCTCCACCTCTCACTGCCTCTGAGATTTGGGGCAACTCATTTAACTTCTTCAAAACTCATTTTCTTCATCTGTTAATCAGAAACTTTATTGATAAACTGACACTGTTACTGAGAATATCAAATAAAACATTTCAAAATAATTCTTTTTTAAATGTAAAGCTAATGTATACCCTTAGACACATATTATATATGTGTAAATGCCTTATAAAAAACACTATAAAGACCTGGCTGGTGTGGTTCAGTGGACTGAGTGCCGGCCTGTGAACTGAAGGGTCACTGGTTTAATTCCCAGTCAGGACATGTGCCTCAGTTGTGGGCCAGGTCCCCACTAGGGGATGCACAAGTACATGTTTCTCTCTTTCCCTCCCTTACTCTCTCTCTAAAAAAAAATCAATAAAATCTTTTTAGAAACAGCACAGAGGTTATCCTCATCATCTCTGTCATCATCCTGTGAAGGTTGCTTGAATTCCAAGCTTTCCCACCAACCACACTGAAAATAAGCAATGGTTTCTGCTCTACGAACAACCCATGCAAGATGAAAATGATTGGCACATGTCCAAAAAATTGGGCGGGGACATTTTAGGTTGCAATACTTATAACCCATGTTTAAAAAGCACTCACGGACATGAACATGGGAATGGGCACTTGTGAAACCAAGATTCAGTTGATATTATGAATAGAGTTCTTGTTATTAAACTGATATGTTTAAACTTTTTATTTAGCAGACAAACTATAACCACAGGTTAGTCTAAACTTTACTCCATGTTACAAACGATTACTATTTCAACCTCTGGGTCCTATGTAGCCAATGTTTCTTCCTGAAATACATTAAATAAATAAATAAAATACACACATAAAATAAATACAATGCAATGGCATAAAAGCAGTTACCCTGTGTGTGTGTGACATGAAGCACATTTTACAATATTTCTCATTTAAAAATCAAAACATAGTCATAGAGACAGAAATGTCTTAAGTCAAGCACCAAAAGGTTTGGTTTTATTTTTCTAGATTGATATCTCATTTTTACAATCAACAAAGAAAGGCCTAGGACGCCTCTGTCCTCCTCCTGACCACTTCTGAGCACCTAAACTCACTGAGTGACAAAAGGAGAAACATCAGTGCAAAGGGCCCTGATTCCAATGATGCGATTGCACTAATTGGCATTATATCATGTCATGAAATTGACATCACACTGCCAAGACTTGGCAGGATTCTGCTTATGGCTCTGCCAATCCTGAGTTGAGTGATGTCGCTACTATTACTGGATTGGATCTTCATTGCTTCAGTTACCCAGGGGCTTAGATAGCAGCTGAAATTCCTCAAAATATTTTGCTATGATAAACCTCAAAGAAAAAAAAACAGCTGAAGAATCTGCTACCTTTTAAGGAAGGAACACTACAGGAGTTTCATCTGAAGCACTTTATTACTTCCTTGTAAACTGTCAGTTTAAATCTCTCTCAGGCCAAATTCCACATCTGTCTATTTGAAATGCTTCATAAGCTGAGGCAAGGGGAGCAGTCCTCTTTGGGGAAATTCAAAGACACACACGACTAATCCATCCTTTCTGTGTGATCCAGAATATCAGCACTTCTGCAGAACGGCAGAGGAAGATGGGGAGGATATTCCTGTTTTTTCTCCTGCTATGGCCCAAAATATTTTTACAGAAAATAGTATATAATGAGATTATGATGTAATAATGTGCTTTAGGGGAATTAAGATATGGATCGCACAGCAGGAACAGAGACACGAAGGTGAGATGAGAAAATCAGGGGTTCAGCATATGAAGGCAAAACCCAGTCAAACCTCATCATTTTGTCATAAGTAGGGGAAAGTCTGAAGAGGATTTCGGAAAACTCTGATCCACAAAATGAATTTTATTTGAACAGGTTACAATTTTTTCTCATGTTGTTTGGTGCAGAATAGATGTTCAAAAATATGTGTGAAATGGAAGGAATGCATGTATCTTTACAGATACAGATGAGAGAGATAGATTCTATAGTTACTTAGGCATAATAACTAAATGAATATTAGACAATCTTGTCAAGAATAGATCCTATGAGTCCTATCTTAGTGAATAAAGACCTATCATCAGTAATTAGCATGCTGATTAGCTATATATAGAATCAGATCTTTCTAAAGTAATTTTTAGACACCTAAGTACATTTGAACCCCCCAAGTATTTCAGGCCCTACACCCATGCACATTGAAATACACACAGAAATATTTCTTGTTTGTCATTTTAATTTGCTAAAAATATATTTTTAATAATACTAGAGACCTTAGCATAGCCATTGTCTGAATTATCTCAAATTTTCAATAATCGAAGTTTAAATGAGTCAGGTTTCATTACATAGGGGAACTATAACCAAAAAGAAAATAAACATTTTTGAAATAAAAAACACAAATCAAAAATGGAAAGAAAACCATATAAAATAGAAATTAAAATACATTACATTTATGCTAAGCACATAAAACAATATAGCATACCAGAAAATATTCTGTATTTTTAAAGACTTATATGTCAAATATGTGAAGAAATTGAGAATGCTTCTTAAATAAACCTAAGGGTGATAATGTAACAATATCTATATCTTTTCACTTGTATTTTTTTGCTTGCAACTGCTGGGGAGAAAACAACAATTTAAAGACAAAATAATATACAAAAACATCACAGTATTTGAAAAGAAATGTCATCATCATTTTATTTCACGTTTAGACCCCATTTTCAAGTTATAAATAGAAAGAGATAATATGTAGAACAAATGTAGAACAAGTTCTACTATTTAAACAATCTTTAACAGGTTCAAAGGGACTACTCCACACATATGATATTGAAAGAGAAAGCAGCAGACATCTCAATAGTTGATTTGCCAGGTGTAAAATTATACACAACTGTATAACATTATTTCTTTCTTAACAAAAATATTTTGAAACATAAGGACCTAAAACCAGAAACTACTGTAAAACATATAAATAATCATGTGGGAGAGAAAAGATAATTTGCAACCTGTAATAAACCATATTAAAAATATCAACTGAGCCCTGGCTGGTATAGCTCAGTGGACTGAGCAGGGGCCTGCGAACCAAAGGATTGTGATCTGATTCCCAGTCAGGGCACATGCCTGGATTGTGGGACAGGTCCCCAGTAGGGGGGACACGAAAGGCAACCATACATTGATATTTCATTCCCTCTCTCCTTCCCCTCTAAAGATAAATAAATAAAATCTTTAAAAAATATAAACTCAATTCCTCGAAAATATTTTTAAATAAAAATATTTTTATTTAAAGCAAGTTAAAGTGTGCCATGCACAGTAAGTAGAATGGCAAGGATGAAACTTGCTGATGGCTAACTTGAAAATGGATTCTAATGCATAATAAATTTAAGGATTTTTAAAGCTTCAGTTAGAGCAATGGTATGCTTATTTTTAGGTGTTTTGTGTGCATTTAGGTTGTTTTTTAGAAAATCAAAAAAGTTCAATGGTAAGTTATGAGACTGACATTTTGAGGAGAGCACTGTTTATTGCAGTGTTCAATGAAAAACACTGGCTAATTATTTAAGACAGGCAAGTTGCACCTTCTTCTTTGCTCATCATAAGGTTTCCCCATAAGATACACATAATCTACTTTTTTAACCTAGAGTAATAACTTGCACAACATACAAAGATGTCCAGAACCCTTCAAAACCAAAATATAGTTATATATCACTGAGACATATAAGTCAGCTGCATCAAACCCTAGGAGGATTCGAGACAATGCTACTCTGGCCAGGGTACCCCCTATCCTTTCACCAACATACAAAATCATAGATGCATGCATACATACATACAGAAAATAAAGTTTTGGAGGGTCTCTTCTGCAAGAAAATGACAATTACTTGTTTAAAGACTCATATCTGTTTGATTTGAGTCACTGGAGTAACAGAACTGTTTGTGTGAATACTCAAATGCTCAATCAGGTAACCTCTAGCAGAGCTTGAATGGCTCTGAAGGACAAGGCAGTTAGATCAATATTAGTTTACTTCAAATGTTGGGCACTATAAAGAGACAAGGCTGATCATGGGGTGGATTTTATTACCTGTCGGAGTGATAAGTCCTGGCGATAAGAGGCTTGGGACTGAATGGGGCAGAAGGCGAGCATTGTCCTGTAACACTCCCAGAGAACGTTTAGGGGGCCTGCCAGGCCTTGAACTGTTGAAAAACAGACAAAGAAAAGATTAGGTTAAAATTGTACACTTCTTGGAAATACTATCACTTGCTACATTTGCCCGCTAATTCTTATTTCATTGCCAAAAGTGATAGAATTTTATTACATTCAACACTGTGTTTATTGATTACTGAAAGTCCAATATTTTCTTTCCCACTAAATTTCTAAACATATGACAAACATTAAAACTGTAAAGGATCGATTTAGTTTAGATTACATTTGCAAACCAGTGCTTTGCAATACACCTATCTGTTGTGAGAAACCCAGCTACACCCTGCTGTTAGAGCTACAATTGATTCCTCATATTAATACACATACTGAGATCCAAGACAGTGACTCACAGACTTAAAATTGTACAGAATGTGGAGTGATTAAGTCTCTGCCCAGCACGCTAGAGGTGAGTGGTAAAGAGCTGATGGATGTAGAGTAACACCTGATATTTATTAGCATGTCCACAGCTACAAGTAACAAATGACCCACACCCTCAGTAGGTTTTTTCCCCTTGTTTTTATTTTTTTATGTTTTAGAGTGATTTTGTTTTATTTTATTTTTTGTATTATATTTTTATTGTTGTTCAAGTACAGTTGTCTCCATTTTTCTGCCACTACTCTCCCCCTCCCCACCCATCTCCACCTCCCACCCTCAATTCTACCCACTTTGGTTCTGTTCATGGGTCCTTTATACATGTTCCTTGATGGCCCTTCCCCTTCTTTCCCCTGTTATGCTCCTCCCACGCCTAACTAGCTGCACCCTCTCCTAAAGTAGCTGTATCAGCAAAAGCTGCCACCTTCACAATCTAGGCTGCCTTCTCTCACAGACTGGCATTTTTAACTGATGAGTTGAGGCCAAACTTACAACATTAACCTAATGCATTCCATTTGTGCATTCTTCACCCTAGTGTGAACAGTTCAGGAACCAGTTGCAAATGCTAATCCATAGAATAATGAAAGAGAAAGCCAGTATCTGGCTTCTGTCTAGGCCCCTAATATAGTCAGTGTACCGAATGCATCATTTGGGAGCTGTCACTACAAAGAAGAGGCACATATGTCATCGAACATTAGGATCAAGTCCTCTCAAGACACCCAATGTATTTCAGATATTACTTTCTAATGTTGCCTAAGATATTGCTGTTGCTTTTTAGTAGGAATTCAGTTTACAAAGCTGAATAATAGAGGTTTTGATATGATTCTGCAAAATACTATGTTAAATAACCCAAGCCACAAAAATGTATGAGGTTCAGATAGAGAACATTTCCAAAAATGACTTTTGGTTCAAACAAGAAATTTAAGTTGAACCTCACTTTATCAACTTTACAGTAGCAAAATGCTCCATCAATGTAAGACAAACTCTGCTTTTAAATGAAGACAGCTTCTAGCAACCTTACACAGAGGTACCGTTACCCAGTTCATTTTTCATACACCGCTGGTGTTATTTTCTTTCATTGTACATCGATATTGTATATCTATCTAGCAAGAAAAAGTCTGTTTTTCTCATTTAATGTTTCAATTTTATAAACTGGCTCTCCTGTCCCTCTTTCTACTTGTATCTGGGCCATAATTTATTTTGTTTAATTCCATGTTGTTATCCTGTCTGTCCTTGTCCTGTGTTACAGTTAACTTCGATTAAGGACTAGTAATAAGAAGAATATGCCATTTATTTCAAATGCCTTAAAGGATCCCAAGATGACTGACTAATATTATTAAGAGTACATTCAATCATTAGAAGTCACATTAGCTTACAGAATAATCACCATACCTGTACTTTTTATAAGTGCTTCTTTGTGCTTTTCCATTCGCCAGAACTCAGGCTTACTGACTTTGCTCGTGTACACCCAATGGCTCTTCATACTTTTCTAATACCAATATTTCAGTGCTATCTTCATGCTCATGATCACTTCCACCAGGCTGTCTCCAGAATGAAAGAGCCTCTACTTCCCTCTCCTTCCACATGATGAGCCAGCTGTGGACAGTACACTGTGGAAGCTATCCGATTGCACCAGCTCTGTTTTGTGAATGCAGCACATATATCTGCTTTTGTGTGTCACTGTACCTCGAGCAACTCTTGTGGTGTCTAGCACATAGTAGGGTTCCAGAAATGGTTAATTAAATCAGCTCATTAATAAAGACAGGAAATATTTCAGTGTCCCTACAATTTCCAAAATATCCCTTAGATTGGTCTACAATTTGCAAATGTTCCTTAGATTGCTCTACTCTCCTTGACCACATGAATCTGAAGCTAGTTGTATCAGTTTATCATCAAATAATTATTTTTAAGTCTTGGACTCTACAGCCATTACAGAGCCTTCAAAATGTGATTCATTCAAATTCGACTGCATCCAAGGTTAACGAAGGGTGGATGCCACTAGCCCTGCAGTCATACATGGGCAGTGACAATATTATGTATTCAATCATCCAGCAAACAAGCATGTGCTAGCTGCCTGTTCAGTATGTGTCCGGTGTTGGGACTGGGTATGAGGGTCACAAAGGTTAAAATGTAAGCTTGACAAGGTCAAGGGTTTGGGTCGGTTTGCTGTTTAATACATTGTGAGGACCTATATCACCTCCTACCTCTGAGGAGGTTGTGTTCTAGTGACAGAGACGTGTGTTTGACCTATTATTTGGAATATGTGATTAACTCTCTAGTGAGGATGATTGTGTGATATCTACTTTCGAACTTGTTTACATTTATTAGTGAGCAAAAAGTCATATGCAGATGCCTTCATTTTTACTTTTGGGGAGAACACTTGGGCTCCTAGAGTAAGAATAAAGTTTGTGAAAGGGCCTTATAATCAATAGATCTCCATACTAATGTAAGATAGGTTTGTTTTTACTTTTGGACCTAATGACCCTCCGTAATATGATATTCCTACATTTCCTTTCAGAGAGGACAAGCCTGACAACATGATGAAACACTAGAGATAACTCCATAGAAAGTTGGTAAAGATCATTTTTGACAGATGATCCTGGCATACTTCTTATCTTTAAGAGCGCTATTAACATCAGGCACATATTTACATATTAATCAAGACAAATAAACATGTGGTGATTTAAGCAGGAAACTGGTTTTTGGATGACAATTTAATCAGCATAGGTTGAAAGCTCCATTTTTGCTGCATCCTGTTGTTGCTAAATTATTGATTGCATTACTGATTTCAGTAGTGCTTTATTTTATGGAGTACAAATAACCATGTAATTACTCTTTAATTAAATGATAATTGCTTGTTGGCAATTATTTGTTTCAGCTTAATTACAAGGTTATTCGTACTCTGTAAAATAAAAGAGGCTTTTTTCTAAAGTTCCCACCCAAATGGCTCTGTGGATGTATCACCTATAAACACCAAAAATGAAACTTGTTGAAGTACAAGATAACAATCTTGAAGTACAAGATTTTATAGAAATAGCAGAACTTTTATTAAATAACTCAGCTAAATCTTTGAGGGACTCAGGCTTATCGAATCATCGTCAGATGTAACATTTATAGGTGGTTCGGGGTACTATTATTCCAAAGAATCATGATTTTTTCTGGGTCTAGGTCATCCTTTAATGTAATTTATTTTGATATGCATTTGACCCTTCTTTCTGCAAGCTTCTTTAGAAGAAATGAAATAACAGCTCAGCTTCCTAAGGTTAAAGAATAGCCTAACTTGAAATACAGTACATCAACAGCATTTCCCATTTCTGCAATTGAAGTGAATTGTATCAGGTGTTGCCTTACCATTTATATACACAGTTTGTAGAGTTGGAAGTTCCCTAAGAGGGGACATTGAGGAGGCCTTCTGTTGTCAATGGAATAGGATGCATTCTATATATTTTGAAGATTTTATTTACTTATATTTAGAAGGGGAAAAGGAAGGGAGAAACAGGGAGAGAAACATCAATGTGTGGTTGCCTCTTGAGCACTCCCAACTGGGGACCTGGCCTGCAACCCAGGCATGTGCCCTGACTGGGAATCGAACTGTGACCCTCTGGTTCACAGGACGGTGCTCAATCCACTGACCCACAACAACCAGGGCCATTCCATGATATATTTATTTGAAGTTATAATCGCTGATACTTTGCTCATTAAGATTATGAAATTTTTCTGTTGGAATTATTTTTATTTCATGGCATCAGTCATCTGTATGTGAATCAGGGCATAAGTAACAGGAAGGTGACTGATTTTATGTTTCAAAAAATGTTTTGTTAGTAAATTCATGGGTGCTGTCATGAGCTTTGAAAATATTAAATGTAAACCATATGGTCACACATGATTTAGTGAGGAATCACAAGTCATGCCACCCTCTTTAAAGAAACCCTTGTAACATTCCAGGACAAACGGAGCAAACTGCTGAGGATACAATGGCACTTAAGGGCAGTGGTCGTAACAACTACTGCCCGTGGATTCCTGAAGTGGGTTATAATAATGACCTGGGGTTTACTTTTCAGAGCTATCACTGATATTTAAAATCCTTGGGGACGGGCCCTGAATGTGTCATTTTTTCAATTATATTAAAAGCCATGAAAACTGCTAATGTCATTTACTCTGAAGGTGTTGTTTACCTGACTGTAACAGTGCTACTCTTTAAATGTGCTGGTACATTTCTTTTCAACAAGAATCTTTTGGAGGAAATGGTAAATCTTGGCATTGCATTGTGGATTGATAACAATCTCTTAGCTATGACATTTACTACAGCATTTCAAGGATGCCAATGATAGTTCAACTCTACTTGACCTTTCAGTGTTTATGAAGAGAAACAAGCTCTGACCTCACAGAAACCTGAATCCATCTTCTCTCAGTGTTGGCAAACTTCTCTCCGATCAGTTTTCTAACTATGGCACTGGATTGTATTCCCAACCAGATCAAAGGCAGCAGCACCCGATTCAGCAACCCAGAAAAAGTCAACCAAGCAAAATGAGCAATTAACATTAATCATATATGAAATTGTTCAAGCTAATCACTGGAACCTGGTCACTATGGTAACTCTCATAAAATGGTGCTTATGTTA